AGATATGCCAATCTTTTTCAAGCTCTTTTTAAAAAAGAGATAGCAGTGAGGAACCCTTTCTGACACATTCTGTCAAAACAGTACTCTCAAAGTTAGGTAATATCACAAGAATAGCATAGGCACTTGCCTGTCGTATTTAATAGAAGCTTTGTTCACAACAATCTATTGTCCAGCAATAGATGAATGAATAAACAAAATGTGTAACAATATTAATATAGAGTGGAGACCAGCCTTGAAGGATATCCCCTCACAGTACAGCTTGGATGAACACTGAAGACATTATGCCAGGTAAAATAAGCCAGTGGCGAAAGAGAAGCACTTCATAATCTCACTTACGTGAAGTATCTAAATGAGTCACTTCACAGAAACAGTAAGAAGAATGACGGAGATCTCAAGTAATGGGTTCAAAATTCACAGTTGTGCAATATGAAAATGTGAAGGAGATTTGTTTCCTCATAATTTGAGTATTTTAGGTACTACTAAACTGTACGTTTGAAAATCGTAACATATGTATTGAGTGCTTCTACCACACTGAAATGGGTATTATCCAGTCTCAGGGATTATTGATGATGATGATGATTTTGTGTATGTGGCCACATGCTTACATGCCAAGGTATGTGTGTAGAGATCAGAGGCCAGCTTTGAAGAAGTGGTTCTTTCCTCCCTTCATGGGTTCCAGAAATTGAACTCAGACTGTGAGACTTGCATAGCTTTTTAACACCCTTTCCTGTTTTGTTTTTGTTTTTGCAATCTCAGGTGCTTTATTAACTGAGACTCTCAGGAGGCCATTCATTGTGATCTTTTTGTCTTAATGGGATTCTTTTTAAGAGGTGAAGTTTTCAGGTGCTGAAACAATTATAGAGTGGGAAAGCTAGGAAGATATGGGGTCTTGTGAGGTGGAGTACCATAAGCCCTTCTAGTCCCATGCTCCCTCACAAGACCCCATATCTTTCTAGCTTTCCCACTCTTCAGCAAGAGGATGGAGCAGAGGTGTTTCATTGAGGGCTGAGCATTCAGCAGGCCCTTACTCTGTCCACCTTGGCCTCTTTGTTAATCAGTATCTACTGTAAACTTTTCTGATAAGGATTGAGAGCTGCATTAATCTGTGACTCTGTGCCATGTGAGCAGTAGGGCTGTTTGTTTTTGAGACAAGATTCAAAAGGTGAAATGGTACCAGGTAGATGACATTGGAACAAGAATCTAAAAGTAAGGGAATGAGCTGTTCTCAGTCTGTGCTGTATGACATCTCTTAGAGGGTTATGATAGTAAGAGCTCAGGGTTTGGAGTCATGGGCTCTGGCAGTTTTGAAACTATCCTAAGGTTACACTGACTCTATGAATATAAATAGCTCAACTAATACTGTCAATGAAAGATGGGAATTGTAATGGTATATAATAGAAAAAGCTCTATGAAACAAACAAGTATCTTCAGTTCTTTTTAAATTTTTTTTTTTATTTTATCTTATGTGATGGGTTAGAACAATTCCCAGCACAGAGAGGGAGGTGAACATGAAGTCCCATCTCTAGCTAAGAAGCTATTGGCAACTGATGGATACTGGAGAGGGGTAAGTCAGTTTTCTTTAAGAACATTAGCACTGGCAAGTCAACTGTCCTCCAGTGGAAGGATAGACATTCAAGAATATATGGATAGAACAAACTGGACTCTGTGTTCTTTTTTGGTTTTGTTCTGTTTTTTGTTTGTTTTTTTCAAGACAAGGCTTCTCTGTGTAGCCCTGGCCATACTGGAACTCAGCTTTGTAGACCAGGCTGGCCATGAACTCAGAGATCTACCTGCCTCTACCTCCTTGGGATTAAAGGCGTGTTCCACCACTGCCCAGCTTGTTTTTGTTTTTAGGAGGACACAAGTTGGGTAGGTAGGGAAGAGGCTGGATGTGGGAGAAGTTGGGTAGAGGCTGATCAAAAGTAATTGTACAAAATTCTCAAGGAACTAATAAAAGAAAAAAAAAAGAATTTCAGGCCACACTTGGGAGAAAAACAAAAACCAAAAAAAAGTGAAAAAATTCAGACACAATAGGACCGATACACATATGAACTTAGAGATTATGGCAGCATGCAGAAGACTTCCATTAGTTCAAGTCAGAGAGGTCCCAGAACTGAGAGGAAGAGTGGACATGGGTCCCACCCATAACCAAGAGGGTAATTTGTACTCACTGGCAAAAGGGAAAATCCGTTTTCTCCAATGGGAGTTTTACTGGTTATAATCAGTCACATGCCAAGGCAGGCCTCATACCCAGGAGTAGATGTCTAATGCAAACTTTATGGGCACTTGTGCATATGTGTGTGTGTGTCTGTGTTTACTTTTTGTTTTGTTTTCACATTGAAAATGTTTTCATTGATCCTTTGCTTGTTTTGATTTGGGGTGTGGGGGGGATTGGAGGGTTTTTTTATTTTTGTTATTTTTTTAAGAGAAAGTTCTGTGGGTAGGGAGGTGAGGAGGATCTGGGAGAGGACAAAAATGTGAACAAAATATATGAAAAATTAACTAAAAAGTGAACAGGAAAAAAAGAAGCAAAAGGCTCTGCTCTGGAGCACACAGGACAGACACGTTTCTGGACCAGAGTGTGGAACTGTGCTCACTCTGCTGAAACAATTTATTAAAGAGATGTGTCATGTTTATGCCCTTTGACATCCTTTTTCAAAACACTATTGTTACTTTACCTAGATGTGAGGCAAAGAATTGGCATCAATCATGTGCTCCTTTACCTAAAGTATTGTTTGTCTAAGTTCATGAGTAGGGTTGTTCTTTAACTCTCAGGGACTTTGCAAGTGGTGTGTGTGTGTGTGTGTGTGTGTGTGTGTGTGTGTGTGTGTGTGTGTGTTAATTGTTTGGAAATAAGACTTGAGGAGATGGCCTTAAAAGTGGGCTGACACTTGGGGAGACAGGCCTTTTCCTTCTGATTTCTACTAATATTACACCTTCTCACAGTCCTAACCACTGGTTACCAGATTGAAATTTTAAATACTTTCTTTAATTTTTGGTAATCTGGATTGTATACAAGGGGGATTCTGCAACCCTGTATTCTAATGGAATCTTCAGTGGGGACAAGTGACCTGAGACATCCTCTGAAACAGTTTCTTACCAAGCCAATCTGACTGGTCATTGGCTCCAAGCCTCCTGATATTTCTCAGCTGTCATTATCTTGCTTACCCTTCCTTTCCATGCAATTCTCCAATAAAGTCATTGGTGTCGGTGGCCTCAGTGTTGGCCACTGGCCTCGAGCAAAGTAGAGGTACACAATCCTGCATATTAGCAAACATGGCCACTACCCATTTTGAAGATGGTAATGCTACTTTAGGTGTTCTGATTTAGAACTAAAGTAACCCTGAATAAACTGTCAATAGTGTTCCATTTAGTATAAGGAAACAGCTTTAGGAAATTGCAGAAAGAAAAATGAGCCTTTGTTTGGGGTTTTGTTTGTATAGAATTTGGAGCCACATAAGCATTCAATACCATTTTAAGCTTTAAAACAGCAGCAGACACCAAAACACAAATGGAAAGAGTCTGTGTCCATGCCCAGTAGGTGGCACTCCTATACCAAAATCAAAGCAAGTGCCAACAGGGTTAGGGCCCATCCTACCTACCTCCTCTAGCTGCCATTCTATATCATGCAACTGCCTTACCTACACATTTTGGTCCTCAAGTGCTCATGAATGTCTTGCTGGCATTGTCTAGTTATTCTTTTGAAAACTTTTTGTACTCATGAACATTCAGCTTGTAAGGATGGGACTAGTGAAGGATTTTGCAGGGCCTGTATAAATACACAGGGAGCTGAGGATGTGGCTCAGTGGGTAGAATGCTTGCTGAACAAACATGGGGGCCTGATTATGGTCCCTAGTACCCACATAAAACCTGAATATAGTGGGGCACCTTTGTAACCCTAGTGCCTAAAGGACAGTAGATATAGCAGGGTCTGCAGAGTTTTCTGACATTCCCGTCACTGATTGGTTCAGTTAGAGACCTGTCCCTCAAAACATGGTGAAGAACATTAGAGAAAGATACCCCATATCAACTTCTGGGCTCCATACATACCCAGGCACACAAATGTACAAGAACTTCTATACATTACATACATAAACATGTACACACACACAATGAAAGGAAGGAAAAAAAAGAAAATACAAGGGGCTCTTTGTTACTGAGAATTTTAAAAAAGTAAGCACAGGGCATTAAAACAAACACAGGACCTTTCAAGTCGAAACAGGTTGTGAGCTCATGAAACCAGCGTAAGTGATATTTCTCTCTCCCCACTTCATGCTCTCATCCCAATATTCCCTCCCCCTGGCATATTCCCAAATGGCTGCTTAAGAAGGGAGAGTTACTGCCCGTTATTCAGACACAATAATATATACTATATTGCATAATGTTTTACATTATGAAAGAAGTTTAAAAATCCAGTCTAATTACCTCATTTTAAAGATGCCTGAACTACATTCCAAAGAGATGAAGTAGATTTTTCAAGTTCACACTAGTTATGCCTAAGACTGTGCCAGAACGAAGAGTTTGCATCTGTCATGTTGTTCGCTTACATGCACGCACACACGCACATGCGCGTGCGCGCACTGGCCCGTGGAGACAGAATTTAAGAGTTTTTTCATCTACTCAAAGGAAGGTTTTCAATATACATTTTGGTCCATTTTCTGTACAAGAAAAGGACACATGATTTTATCATATACTTTGTGGAATGCATCAATTCAAAAATATTCACAAAAATCACAATTCAGGACACACACATACAAGTATTAAAAAAAATCAGTCATCAGTGCATGTGCCACATAGCTTTTTAAAAAAAAAACGAAACACTGCTGGGAGGTGGTAACTCATGCCTTTAATCCCAGCACTCTCAGGAGGCACAGGCAGGCAGATCTCTGTGAGTTCGAGGCCAGCCTGGTCTACAGAGCAAGTTCCAGGACAGCCAGGACTACACAGAGAAATCCTGTCTCGAAAAACCAAAAGGGGGGAAAAAACTCCTTACAAAGCAATATGAGAACAATATTTATTTTCTTTTAAAATACCAGCTAAGAAACATAAAATAAATGAAATCCTAATTAGCTTTTACCTCTTTGGCTTTGATAACACTAGAAATATACCAGTGCTCATAAAAGGATGAATCAGCCTTGGCATTAGCACGATAGAGACAGAACTCTGACATGAGTTTAGCTCTTCAGTTCTGCTCTGGGCTCCAAGCTTTCTTACTCCTTCTTAAAGAAACGCTTTGCTTCAACTCCTTCATATATGTAGGTCTGAAAGATGTTAGCAAACATAAAAAAGGAGTCATTAAGATAAAATCGCAAATTAAGAAAAATAGTAATGTTAGAGCCTGTCCTAACATTTCCTTATACTTGATAAGCAGCATTTTATGAAGATATAGGATAGAACCATTAAAATTACACTTGGGATTGTAGGCATTATGTTTTTGTTAAAATGGAAATTGATGTGTATTTTTGTAAATTGCTCTCAATAAATAATGACGTATATATGACATCTATATATGATATATATCATGTATATATATTTAATATATATACATATATAAGACATGAATGAAATTCTTGTTCATAATCACTTTTGCCTTTGGAATGTAGTTATTAATCTTTCTTACAACTTACATTGATTAGTTCACCACCAGAAACTTCTCGGACAGCAAGCAGCTCCTTCCCATTGTCTACACGTGTGAATTTTCCAATAAGTTTATTCCCCTCCATGCTCCAGGTCCCCTGCATCACAATAATAGGGGAGCATTTGTTACGGTCTTACATGCATCTCACTTGACTTTGAGTTTTACAGATCCATAGATAATCACGGCGACCCCTACAGATGGTTTGAAGTAATATGCTACCTCCGTTTACGAGGACAGAGACTGTGCACTGGCAGAGCAATTCCTCAAAAGTCAGAAAGAGCCCTGGACATGAACTGTGGGACTCCAGGCTGTGTTGGCCACTGTTAAGCACCACTCCCTGGATAGCTGCTGTATGCTGAGTTGCAGTGCAGATGAGTAGTGATTACCATAGTGATAAAATATTCAACAGTTACACTGTTGTTGCAGGGCTGAAGAGGTGGCTCGGCTGGTAAGAGAGCTTGCTGCACAAGCAGTTGGACCTGAACTCAAATCCCTGGAATCCCCATAAAAAGCCAGGGATGGTCACATATGCCTGACACCAGTGCTGTAGGGAACAACTAGGAGGATCAGAGGGGCTTTCTGGCCACCAGCTTCAGTGAGATACCCTGCCTCAAGGAATAAGATGTGGAGCGGGGCACCTGATGACCTCTCCTGGCTTCTCCCTGTGTAGATTGGCATGTGCATCCACCACACACACCTGCCATACACACACTCGTGCACACACACACACACACACCTCACTACAAATATATTTGACTAGAAAAGCTCCAAGGCTAAAAAACTTTTTAAAAATTAGTTGAAAAGTGTGCTTCCCCAATTTTTTTTAATCTTATACATTGAAAGGGACGTTCTTAATAATCTCACCTAATGGCTACTCAACCATTCATTAATATCCTTAATGGTTTTTTTGTTTTTTGTTTTTTGTTTTTTGTTTTTGTTTTTTTTTTTTTTTTTTTTAGATGAGATCTTGTGTAGCCCAAGCTGGTCTCAGACTTATTCTGTATCTGAGAATAAGCTTGACTTTATGATCCTCATGACTCCAGTTCCCAAGTACTGAGATTGCAGGCCTGTCTGTGCTTGGCTCAGTTTTTATACAGTGCTGGAAATATAACCCAGGGTTTTGTGCTTCCTGCAGTCTCCTGATTCAATTACATTCCCCAGCTTTATGGTCTCCTAGCATGTAGAGCTGAAAATACAGAACTTTACATTTCCTTGTGACTATCCCTATACCCAGTCAATCTAAGAGGATTATTCTAAGTCTTAGTCTTCAGTGTAGCTTTTTCACAGATGCAAATCATAATAATGTTATATTAGAACATTTTGCCAATGTGTATAATATATGACCAGACTTCATTGGCCTCTTCAATAAATGAAGAAGATTTTCATTTGTTGCACCATTCCGTGAGATAAACTACTTCGTATTGGTAAAGAAAAAAAAATCAGGAATGCATTGCTATAAAATATGTCTTACACTGAGTTCCGTTCCATCTGCTAGAAAATAGGTAAAGTTGACCCCAAGTTCAAACACAATCTCAATTGTTCGAAAGGTGCTTGATTCTTTGACTGTGAATTTATTTCCTTCCTGTGTGATGGTCAGTTTCAAATTGTCATGAGCTGCAAGCTTCCTTTTCACCATGTTAATGCCTGTAAAAGGGGAGAGATTGGAAGGAACATGAAATCAGAATGCCACAGAAAGTGTTCCTCTTTCTAAGTCCTGCTGTGATTCGCTTATCTTTATGTTGTGGGTGGAGACGACAGAGCAAATAGTATTGTGTATCATAACACTGAGATGCTTCTAGAGGAAAAGGGAGAAGCTCTGGCAGATCCAGAAAACTGGTTCATGCTGCTTTTCCCAAGTCAGAAAGGGTAAACAAAGCCACAAAATGTAGCCCCCAAGCCCTGGCTAATTTTAACAAAATTAACAAACGTTTTGCTAATTCAGTTCAGTCAATAATGTTCAGTCAAATTTCAGCAATGTCAAATGAAGTATTAAAACATATATTCATATATTAAAAAAAGAAACACAAGCATGGTTCTGGATATTTATTCATTTCCAACACTGCTTTCGAAATTTCATTTCTTTATTTTGTTGTTGTTCCTTGAAACTGGATCTTGGTACATAACCCAGGCAGGCCCAAGCTATTCTGTAACTCACAACCCTCCCATTTCACTTAACACTCTGTGTCAAGATCACAGGCATATACCACCATGGCTTGCTTTCTTCATACTTATATTTACTTTTTGTGGCATTTCTAATTGACCTAAGCCTGAAAAATCAGAATATTATGATTAAATTCATTATAATATGAGCGTACAAATTTCATAAACTTAAATTTAGGATCCCTAAAGTATATAGGGATTTATAAATTATAAAGTATCATTTACTCAGACTTTATTTTTGGGAAATGATGCATAGTTTTTACCCAGTAAGTTGCCAGAATATTAGCAGACATTTATAATATAGTTAAATTACACTTCCACGAAGAATACACAGCCTTTTGTGGTTATTCCTAAAGTTAGATAAGGCAGAGAAGAGAATTACATATAATCTATTCAAGCTGAGTTTTGGTGAAATCCTTTTCTTGCTTTATTAAAAGGTCCATGCTTTCATTTTTTTATCTCCTATAATACAGTGTTTTTTAAAGCTCTGGAAATTATCATAACTCACAGTTTTCTTTCTTTGAATGAACACAAACATGTCAGTTTTCACTTACACAGGTGCAATTGCCAGGCAAGGGAGAAAACACAGGCGACTCTTTCTTTGGTGTGTTTCAGAGAGCAGCACTTGTCTTAAGGAGACAAGTTATTCTTCCTAAAGCAAGAAGTGCAAATATGGATTTCCTGGCTCTGAACAAAACACACCTGGATCCTTGCCAGGTCCCCAGTCATTCCCTAACTACAAAGACAGGAGAAAGCAAATTCAAAGGAAAACAGTCCTTACCCATCTTCTCCATAAACTTCTCATAGTTGTCATTGCGGTCTACTTTCCAGGTGCCATCAAATGCCATGATCGCAGCTGTGTGTGCCTCTAGGAAAGCAGGGATGCAGTCTTGTCTTCAAGAGAGAATTTATTCTATTTCTTATCTTTGAACCAATTCATACTGTGATGTGGAAGTTCAAAGTTCAAGAGATAACCTAACTACTTTATATGCCAGGCCCCTTTAGTTTCTCTTCCCATGCTTTCTTTGAATCTAGTTCTGAGACTCAACTGAATTAAAATTTGATAATCATACCCACTCTGTCTTCAGCTACAACATGTGGGCATTTTTATTTCAAGACTTAGGGCCAGGCTTACACTGGCCTCCCAGCACTCAGGAGGCAGAAGCAGGCAGGTATGTATAAGCTATAGCCTGGTCTACATTGGCAGTTCCACTCCAAGCAGAAAACAAACAAACAACAAAAATGAATTAGGCAAAAAGCCTGAAACCAAACCAAACAAACAAAAAAGCTCAAGATAGTTTTCTGTTTACAAGGTCAAAGTGCATAGTATGTAGCAGCTAATACAAGTTGTAACATGCGTCAAACAACTGGGACTTAACTCCCCCAGCTTGTCACAGAAGCATTTGCCTTATAAAACTAGGCAAAAATGCAACTGAAAAGTTAAAGCGCGAGTTGAGAGTGATTATGGAATGAAAATTCATTTTTCTCTCTTCCTAAGATTATTTTATTGAGATGAAATTAACCTAAAATTTAGTATATTGGGAGGGAGGGAGGGACTGGGAGGGAATGAGGGATCGGGACACGGCTGGGATACAGAGTTAATAAAATGTAACTGATAAGAAAAAAATAAAATACAAAAAATAAAAAATAAAAATAAAATAAAATCTTCTCCCAAGTAAAAAAAAAAAAAAAAAATTTAGTATATTAACTATTTGCCCAAATATCACCATTTTCATATTCTGGGACAGTGTCATTATCCCTAAAAGAAACGGCATGCACGTTAACCAGTGGGTTTTCATTTCCCCATTTTTTAAAATTATTTTTATCTTTATTAATTACAGTTTATTCACTTTGTATCCCCTCATTTCCCCATTTTATACCACAAAACTCTCATCCACTCTCTACCTCTATGAACATTTCATACAAATAGAATTAAATAGTAGATGGTCTTTGTTTGTTTGTTTGTTTGTTCGACTTCACAGAGATCCACCAACCTCTGCTGCCTCCCAGAGTGCTGGGATTACAGACATGTTCCACCACACCCGGGAGAATCTTTTCATTGAATATGTTTTCAATGTTCTTTATTCTTTTAAAACATTTTTTCTTGATTAATGTACATTATGCAAATTAAGGAATTAAGCATGACATTTCAATACAATCATAATCAAACCCAGTTTTCCTCTCTTCCCTCCTCCTATACTAACTTCCAATAACACACTCAGGTCAGTTTGTTAGTTGAAATTATGTTTTCTAATGTGTCCTTTTGCATCATATTTAGGGCCAGCAGAAGCTTATATAAATATCCCTGGCTCCTGGCACACTGTCTGACACCCTGAAAATCACAAGATTTGTTCAGCTTGAAGAGTGATATGATAGGCCATTGAACAAGGACTCAAGAAGTAGAAATGTGGCTGTGTCACACAAAACCCTCAGGACCAGTGTTTAACATCTGCCATGTGAAGAGAGAACAAAAGCCGAATGTTCTGTATGCTATTAAGTAATTTTTTTTCTCACTTTCTGTTACTTGTAAACTTGGTAGAGTAAGAAACCATGATGTGTGTGTGTGTGGGGGGGGTAAACAAGAGAGAATAGATAGAACCCAAGTCTGTCCCCTCAGAACCTAGGGAAGGGAAAACAAGAGAATGGCTAGAACCCACATCTGTCCCTTCATAAACTAGAGGGGGTGGGAGGAGCAAGGGGAACAGCTGCTGTCTCCAGCTTACAGAGGCCCGTGCTGGGAGAGAAAAACATGCAGTGTAAAGCCTTGATTGTTAACTAGTGTTCACACCTCAGTCGTTGAAAAGGGACTATTTCTAAATGAATGTGCTCAGAGACAATGTTATAAACTCAGGGCCAGCGGAGAAGCTGAAGTCCCGCTAAGATTTCCTTCCAGGGAAGGGGAGGAAGATTCCAGCAAATCTGAACACTACATTGGGAAACAGAATCACGTTTCAGATCACAAGCTCAGATTTAATAAAACCAGCTGTGCTGTCTTTGTGTTCTCAAAGATAAGGAAACCTTATCGTTTCCAAATTATCAAAAACCCAGCATACTTTTAATACGGAAGGAAATTAAAAAGGTCATGCATTTTTCTAGAAGGTACGTCTAACGTGAGGCCATGTGCTTCAGGATGTTCAGTTATGAACACCTTCTGCTTTAAAACTGCAAAGTCACTTAAGACATTATGGGATTGTTTTTACAGTCTTTTTGAGAAGTTGATTGCTCAGTTCTCCATTGTGAACTTTATTAATGACATCATGTATTCGTGTTGCAGTGTCAGATTATTGGAAAGGCCTAAGCACAGAAGCCGATGAAACAGCTTCTCAGGCAATCCACTACTTACAGAGATTTGTGGATTTAGAAGCCTATGGATGATGGTGGCTGCTGGGGGAGAGAGAGTCACTGTCCCCTGGAGACTTGGCTAGTAGGTTACCTATGGGTATATGGGCAACAGGTATTATAAAATTCACAACAGCAGCAGCACACAGCTGTTAGGGAGGCTGATGAGATGGGACCATCAAGAGAGTAGGAAGGAGATGATGGTGAAATGTCATGATCAAATTGTATAAAAGTATGAAATTTGAAAGAGTAAGTTAAAAGGTTTTTAAAGAAGCCACAGGATGGAGAGATTGTTTAGTGGCTAGGAGCACATGCTGTAGCTGGGCACGGTGGTCCATGCTTCTAATCTCAGCACTCTGGAGGCAGAAACAGGTGGAGTTCTGAGAATTTGAGGCCAGCCTGCTCTACAGCAAGGTCCTGGCCAGCCAGGGCTGTGTAGTGAGATTGTACCTGAAACAAACAACAGCAAAGAGTGCATACTGCTCTTACAGAGGACTGAAGCCTGATTCCCAGCACCCGTGTAGGTTGGCTCTCATCTTCCTGTAGTGCCAGTTCTGGGGCATCTGATGCCTTCTGGATCCTATGAGCACCTTTGGTTATGCATACACAAATCCTCAGACACACATGTGCACATAATTAAAAAGTAAATATTTTTTAAAGCTCATAGGTAATCTTTTACAATAAAGATCCAATCTCTGGACAATGAAATAGAAATATGATGTCATTAAAAATAAATCTTGTGTTTTAGAAACAAACCAACAAGTTTTAGTATTGCAATCCTAACGTCCACTACCATGCATGACCTCAGATTATTCAACCCGCCTGAACCTCGGTTTCCTCACATATAAACGAAAGACCTTATAGATAGGCTTATACTTTATACCTTATAGACAGGCTGTTTTTTAAGCACTGTCTAAAAGCACCAACCTGAACAACTAGTACACATTAGGTACCCAGTAAACCTTAGTTTCTGTCCTTATTATCTGAGAAAGGACATTTTACACCCAAACCAATGTATTAGGAGCACTCCAGACCTTGGTCTACTTTTATGAAGAAAATTCATATATTTTTAGAGGTTATTAAAAAGTTATTTGGGTATTTTGTGGCTGACATAGGTGACTCCTTGGGCTTGATATGCCTTGGATTGCCCAGGTAAGACCAAAGTGCTGTCTGGTCGTATATATTTTCACTCTGATCTCATAGCCCCTGAAATAGAACACAGCTCAAGTAAGGGCAGGAGGGAGAAACTAGAGTGATTTCTTCCCATGGTTCACCTAATAATGTTTCCATACCAGGACTCCCCACTTTGTCACTGGCCACTTTAAACTACTGAAAGGGAGCAAAAGGCTCAGCTGGGAGAGAATACCATTTGGATTCACGCACACTGCTAACAGATGGGCGTATTTCTTTATCCTCCATCTGTCAGCTTGGAGAGCCACTGTCTCTGTACTGTAGCATCAATAAATGTTTAAATGCCCCACTCAGTTTGTTTTTAACATTATAGTATTTCTCTAGTTTTCCTTTCATACAGATACTCAACTCTTACCACTTACCAGATTCCATTTAGAGAAAAAAAAAATTATACAGGGCCTGTGGGCAGTACAACCTTTTCCTTACAGACTTTTCCTTACAGAATAACTCAGCTAACTTAGTGCAGACTTAGCCCGTTCATTTCCTGCTCTTAGAGAACTATGAGACTTAGCATCTTAGGGTTTGGGAAAATGTGTGAATGTGGCTGCAGATGCTGTGGACAGTATGAAATTCGGCTGCCCTCGCTCTGGGTTCTGCAGCTCTCACCCCCCTGAGTGGCCTGGAAGAAGTAGAAATTAGCAAAAGCTCCTTCTGACTCACAACCATGTCTCTAAAGGAAAGTAGAAACCGCCTTCTTTAGTACAGATTCTGTCAACTGCTCATATGGCCTGACTCTACTCCTCACTGTGTACTCCAGCGTGTCCCAGCATGGCCACTGACTGATCTCCTGAGCCTGCTCTCAGCTGCCAAGTTTGAGTCAGATAACGCTGACTTGCCTGAGTATAAAGGTCTCAGTATAGTCCAAAAGACGAAACAGTGGATTCATGATAACGAGTGGATATCATTATCTCAATGTCCAGAGATGCGACGAGCAAGGGAAAGAGATGTCCCAAGCTCACAGAGATTCCTTTGCCTTACTGAATGAAGGGAGAGAACATTTCTAGGTTCTCATTTGGTATATATCATAAGAAAAAGAACATTGCAAGGCATGGCATAATTACTTCAGAATTTATGGTTTCTGGTTTTTTTTTTTTTTTAATCTCAAGTTGTTCAACTTTTACATATCAAAGACCATCAGATACACCAAAAAGGATTAGACTGACAGAGAAATTTTGAGATTACTGTGCATCCCTAGTAAAAACTGGAAAATAGAGACATTCTAAAGTTTGCCAACAAATATTACTGCATTCTGTGTTAGTGGACTGTTAAAAATTGCTTAATTATGTTTCATAGTTTGAAATGACTGGTTGGCATC